GTAATCATTTTGCCTTTGTGGAAGGCCTTCCCTTGGTGTGGATGGCGGCTGACTGATCAGGTGGGTGGTGTCTGAAGGCTCAGGTGGCTGTGGTAATTTCTTAAAACAATGATAAAGTTTGCCACATTAAAAGACTTTTCCTTTCACAAAAGATTTCTCTGTAGCACATAATGCTGTGTGATAGCATTTTACTTAACAGCAAAAATTCTTTCAAAATTGGAGTCAATTCTCTCAAATCCTGCCATTGCTTCATCAGCAAAGGTTATATAATACTCTAAATCCTTTGTGTTCAACAGTGTTCACAGCGTCTTCACCAGGAGTAGAGTCCGTCTCAAGAAGCCACTTTCTTTGCTCATCCATAAGAAGCTACTTTCATCCATTCAAGTTTTATCATGAGATTGCAGCAACATCTTCAGGCCCCACTTCTAATTCTCTTTCTCTTGGTATTTCTATCCCATCTGCAGTGACTTCCTCCACTGAAGTGTTGGATCTCTCAGCGTCATTCATGAGGGTTGGAATAAATTTCTCTCAAACTCCTGTTCATGTTGATATTTTCACTTCTTTCCATGGATCACAGCTGTTCTTAATGGCATCTACAACGGTGAATCCTTTCCAGTTTTCAATTTACTTTGCCAGATCCATCTGAGGAATCACTATCGATGGCAGGTATAGACTTACATAATTTCATTTATTAAATCATCGGACTTGAAGTAGAAATTACTCCTCGCTTCAGGGTCTGCAGAATGGATGTGGTGTTAGAAGGCATGAAAACAAGATGAATCTCCCTTAACATCTCCAGCAGAGATGCTGGGTGATCAGCTGTACTGTCAGTGAGAAATAACATATTAAAAGGAATCTTTTTCTTCTGAACAGGTCTCCACAGTGGGCTTAAAATATTTAGTAAACTATGCTGTCAACAAATGTGTTGTCACCCAGCACACAAATGGAAGTGTCATTGCATTTATAAAGCACAGACAGCGTGGATTTAGCATAATTCTTAGGGTTCCTAGGAATGGTAAATAAGCATTGCCTTCAACTCAAGGTCACCAGCTGCATTAGCCCCTAACGAGAGAGCAGCCTGTCCTTTGAAGCTTTGAGGCCAGGCATTGACTTCTTCTCTCTAGCTGTGAAAGTCCTGATGAGATTATCTTCCATTAGAAGGCTGTTACACTCCCCTTGAAAATCCTTGTTTAGTGAAGATGATGATCTGAGCTAGATCCCCTGGAAAACTTGCTGCAGCTTCTCCATCAGCACTTGCTGTGTCACGTTGCACTCTTATGTTATGGAGATGGCATCTTTCCTTTAACCTCGTGAACCTTTACTACCTCCTCACTTTTCTTCTGCAGGTTCCTCACCTCTTTCAGCCTTCATAGAACTGAAGAGAGTTGGGGCCTTGCTCTGGATTGCCTCCTTTGACTTAAAGGAATGTTGTGGCTGGTTTGATCTTCTATCCAGGTCACTAAGACTTCTCTATATCAGCAACAAAGCGGTTAGCTTTCCTATCCGTCATGCATTCCCTGGAGTACCACTTTTAATTTTCTTCCATAATTTTTTCTTTGCGTTCATGATTTGACTGTTTGGTGCAAGAGGTCTAGCTCAGCTTTTGACATGCCCTTCTCACTAATTGTAATCGTTTCTATCTTTTGATTTAAAGTGAGAGATGTGAGATACTGCCTTTCACTTGAACACTTGGCGGTCATTATAGGATAATTAATTATCCTACCTTCAGTATTGCTGTGTCCCAGGATTTAGGGAGGCCTGAGGAGAATGGGAGAGACAGGAGAATGGCCAGTCAGTGGAGCAATCAGAACACACATATTAAGCTCTCCATCTTGCGTGAGCACAGTTCATGGCGCTCTCCCCCCAAAAAAATTACAATAGAAACATCAAAGATCACTGATTGCAGATCACCATAACAGACAGAATAATAACAAATGGTTTGAAATATTGTGAGATTTACCAAAATGTGACACGGAGATAGGAGGGGAGCACATGTTGTTGAAAAGTGGTGCTGATAGACTTGCTCATGGCAGGATTGCCACAGATTATCTGTTTGTAAAAGCCATATTTGAGAAGTGCAATAAAACACAATGTGCCTGTATTTGAATATGTGTGTGCTACCTAACTATCTAACTTTCAGTAGTCTCATTGCTTTCTCCTTCCCCTTTTAGAATCTCAGAATCTATTGTCTGACCACCAGCCTCCCTTCTGTGGGACTTTCTGGTGTGGTTGGTCTTTGTGGCCATCGCCTGGGTGGCTGACCTGGGGCTCATTAATTCTGACACCTTGACACCTCATTGATGCAGCTTATGCTAATTGTAGGTGCTGGTGCTGCTACAGCCTCGGTTCTACTTGTTCCTTTTTGCTCTTTTAGCTAAAACCTCAGGGGGACTGGTTTTGTTATGTTGCTCATTTCCATTTTTCATTGCTTTTCATTATTTCTGTAGTAGACTCGGTGTCAGGCTGAAAAACGTGTGTTCCTATTTTTAACACAATCTAGGAAAATCCAAAAGGAAAGAAGAATAAGCATGATTTTGACTAAAACCTGTACAGTTCTTCATTTTTCCCTGTGATATTTATTATTTATTTCTAAAACAAAGACGTTGGACAGTCTTAGGCAATTTAAACACACACACACACACACAAAAACCCAAAAACTGTCAAACCTGCTCAGACGTTCTCCAGCATGTGGTGTGAAAACAAAGTGAAGCAATGGCATACTCCCGCAGATTCCTACACCTTGCTAAATGCCCTAACAGCCTGGCTCCAAATATGACTATTGGGGACGAAGGGGACTTGGATTGAACAATGACAACAATGACTGGTTGATGAGATGGAGGATAGATGATGGCAGAACCAAAGTGGGGGATGTGCTGAAATAGCCCAGAGCCACGATGGGCAGTGGTTCCCAGCTCTTCCTCATTTTTTTTTTTTTTGGGACAGACTCGCTCTGGTGCCCAGACTGGGGTGTAGTGGCACAATCTTGGCTCGTTGCAACCTCCACCTCCTGAGTTAAAGCAATTCTCCTGCCTCAGCCTCCCGAGTAACTGGAATTACAGGTGCTCACCACCAAACCTGGCTAATTTTTGTATTTTCAGTAGAGACGGGGTTTCGCCATGTTGGTCAGGCCGGTCTCACACTTCTGACCTCAGGTGATCCACCCACCTCGGCCTTCCGAAGTGCTGGGATTACAGGTGTGAGCTACCACACCCAGCCCTCTTGTTCATTTTTAAATGACTAGTCTGTGGTTGTTTGGTAATGTGCACAGGGCACTGTGGGGTGCTGACATCTGGAGAGAGTGACAGAGGCGTTGGCGTGGGGGTGCTCTGCCGGGGAGAGCCGCAGTCTGGGGACAATGCTGGGTATGCTACTGTATGTTTTCGTGTGTCTTTGGAGCAAATGCATATGGTGGGAAAAGACCCTGGAAGGAGAGGTTGAGGTCAGACAAGAAAGGCCCTGAATGCCACATCAACTTTGCCATGGGCCCCACATTCTGGTGACACTCGTGTTAGTCAAGGTTCCAGGAGACTCATCGTAGGATAAATTGAGGAGAAGTTCATGAGAGGATCATTTGTAAAGGGGTGAACACGGTGTGGGGAAGCCGTTCAGGGTTAGTGCAGTCCCCGGATTTAAGAAAAGAGTGCAGCTATCACCTGCAGGCCTGAGGGTGTGAGAGGAGGGCGTGGCTCCTTTACCCTGAGATGGCTGGGGCTCTTTGCAGACCCCGCAAGGAGAGGAGCTAGGAGCTAAGTACTTGCTTCCCTTTCTCCATCTGGTCTGATTTCCTAGCATTGCTTCCTGTACCAGTCAGGGTTCTTCAGAGAAGCAGAACCACTGTGGTGGTGGTGGTGGGGTGTGTGTGTGTGTGTGTGTGTGTGTGTGTGTGTGTGACAGACAGAGGGACAGAGGGACAGAAAGAGAGAGAGATTCATTGGTTTATTTAAGGAACTGGCTCATGTGATTGTGGAGGCGTGGTGAGTCTGAAGACTGATGGGGTAGGCTGTGAGGCTGGAGGCTCAGGGAACATTCTCAGTTTAAGTTCAAAGGCTGTCTGCTGGCAGAATTCCTTCTTGCTCAGGGGGAGGTCAGTCTTTGTTCTATGAAGGGCTTCCGCAGATTGGAAGTTCACCCCCCTTAGGTAGGGTATTCTGCTTCAAGTCTGCTGATTTAAATGTTATTCTCATCCACAAAACAACTTTATAGAATCATCTAGAATAATGTTCGACCGTGTGTCTGTGTACTGTGTCTGACCAAGCTGATACATTAAAATTAATGATCACACTGCCCATCGGTTGATCACAATCAGAAGCCAGAGGGCAGGGATCCTGGACGCTTTGGGGGTGTGCCAGCCTCCAAGGCAGAGTGGTAAAGGCTGGACATCGAGGGGCAAACCACTTGCCCCAATGTGATGTGGAAGAAAGCAAGGGGAGGGTTTTGCCTCTGCACCCTCTCTCTTCTGTCTAGAAGCTTGGATTGGGGTCGTGGGTCTTTCTGAAATTTAAGTGTTTCCAGAGACCCTGTATAATACAAGCCCTCCTCCTGCCTCCCTGCAAATGACTACAAGCATCAGGTACAAATGAAATCTCTTAAAACACTGCTGGTTTTCCTTTATACTTTTATTCAATTTTTTTCTTAAATTACATGAATGGCAGTATAAGCCATGTGCGATTTCAAAAGGCAGTCACCTAGACAGGCTGGAGAAACAGCAAACTTTAATCTTGAGATTGGTGTGCCAATTTCACTGTAATAATCCCCCCACCCCCTGCAACCTGCACCCTGGCTGTTCTGCACTTGCAGAGGATGGCACAGAAGGACTAAGTTGTTTCAAGAAAGATTTAAGTGAGATCTGATAAGCAGCTTTATTACCGAGGCTGTAGAATACTGGGAGGGGTTCTCTCCATTGGGCTATTTTGGATTTTGGACTTTACTGAAAAGCAAATAGGCCAGGGTCAAATTCACATCAGAACAACACAAGTGTAAAATGGAGACTTGAAGAGTTATTTAGCTATTCCGATGAGAAATGGTTTTTAATAATTGGATAATTGCCTTAATTCTCCACTTCTTTTTGTATGATGCAATGTGTTTTGAGTTCTGCAATGATGTTCTACAGGAAGTGACAAGAATTTGAAAACTATTATCACAAACAGATGACATAGTGCTGTACTGGAGATACCATAGGTCTAAATGCAGCTGACCTCAGGGATGGCTTCTAGAAGCAGAAGAGGCATGACTGCAGGGGCCAGCTGGATAGGGGGTGCAGACCAGCCTCTGCCCTGGTTAGCAGGGAAGTAGCGGGCTGCTGCTGCCTGGGCAAGCCTACTTCCCTCTCTTGGGTCTTCCTTCCTAAAATGAGGGTCTGCTCGTGTTCCAGAACATGGAGCAGCGCTGTGAGCATCATCTCCACCAAATGACACAGCTCAGATCATATTCATATGCATGTCATGTATGGCATGGCTCGTGGGTGGAGGGACACCAACCTTTCTATTCTGGCTATCGCTGATTGGACTGGGCAGATATGCTGAGGCCACAGAAGGGCTGTGTCTGGGTTGGACATAAGGGATGTCAGAGGCCCCCGGTGTTCTTGGGGGAGAGTCTGCCTAATCAAGGTGCCCATTTGACTGGTAGAAATCAAATCAAATCAAATCAAATCAAAAACAAATGTGTTATTATCTTTCACATTAACGCTAAGAAATCTGGCAGGTCACTTGAACTTGCTAGCACACCGAAATGCCGAGTGATGAATCTGTCTCCATGAGGTTGCTGCATGTTTCAGAACTGGGATGCAAAGTTCAGCTTCTCGTGACACCCCATTTTCATAGGTATCCTTGCAATACATTGCCATAATTCCAGGTGATCTGAGTCCCTCTTTCTTGTCCGCTTGACTGGTTTGACTGACTTGACCAGTACAATCCCATCAAGCTCTAACAGTGTGAAATTCCAATTCGACTGTGATGCAATGTGGTGGCTGGGAGGCAGGGTGGTGAGGGAGCTAAGCTAATGGGCTCTGGGGTCACACTACCTGGGTCCATTTTGAGCTCTGCCAGTTAGGTTGGGGTAAGTTCAACTCCTGTAGCACAAACACCAAGTAAGAATGCCTTCAACAGGCAAGATGGGCGTTTATTTCATGATCACATAACGGTGTGGGTGTAAGCGGTTCAGGACTGATATGGCAATCCTAAAATCTGTGGGATCCAGGCTCGTCTTATCTTGTGGCTTCACCATCTTCAGGGTGTTTCTCTCACCCCTATGTTTTAGGTGCCTTCCTACAACCGTAATCCTACCAGAAGAAAAAGGAAGTGGGGAAAGGAAGGCACGGAAGGGAAGCTGCTCACAGGGCAACACCAACTGCAAAGGCATTTGGGAAGTGTAACCTGCATTAGTTTGTATTGCTGTATACCAGATGAGCATAGACTCAGTGGCTTAAATGACACAACTTTATTATCTCTCAGTTTCTGGGGATTAGGAGTGCTTGTCCTTTGCTCTGGGTCTCATCAGGCTGCAATCAAAATGTCATCATCCAGGGCTACGATCTCATCTGAGGCTCAGGATGCTTGTCCGAGATCCCTGGTTATGGGCAGGATTTAGTTCCTTGCGATTGCAGCACTGAGGTCCCACTTTCTTGCTGACTGTCAGTGAGTCCATTCCCAGCTCCTAGAGGCTGCCTGCTAGTCCCTGCCCTGTGGCCCCTTTCCACAACAAGGCATTGCATCTTCAAGGCCAGCAAGAACATTTCTTTGAATCTTTCTCTTCAGCAAAGTCCCAGTTTCTTTTGAGGGCTCACCTGATTAGGCCAGGCCCATCCAGAGTCATCTGCCTTTTGACTGACTCAAAGACAACTGATGTGGGACCTTAACTCCATCTGTAACATCCCTTTACTGCTGTCATATAATACAGCCTAATCTAAGGGCGCAATCATTTCATCGTATTACTAGTCCCACTTGTACTCAAGAGAAAGGGGTTTAAAGGGTATATACACCGGGGGGTAGGAATCTTGGGGACCATTTAGAATTCTGCCTACTTCATAATCTTTATTTGGGTGGCTATATGCCCAGCCAATAGTAATCAATACGATTCTGATTTCTGAAGTTCTATGACTGGAGAAGAACAGGAAAAATGATATTGGGGTTAACGAGTGGTCTCTGCTATAATAACTTATTATCCATGTTATCTTGTTATTTAATTTTTCTGTGCTTCAGCTTCTCCTATAAAACAGGGATGATGATAGTACTTCACTGATAGGTTTTTCATGAGGCTTAACTTAGCTTGCATGCAGAGCAGTGCTCTATACATATGAAACTACTCATTAATGGTCAGCAATAATTCTCCTCTTCTTCCTCCTCCTTCTCCTCCCTCTCCTCCTTCTCCTCCTCCTCCTCTTCCTTCCAAATCATGGATGAAACACAGAAATAAAATAAGGGAAAAAATTCAAGAGTCATCAAAAAATACAGCCATATCTTAATGACTAAGAAGAACAAAAAGGACTTGTTGAAGTCTTTCCAATCTTGACCTTTTTTAGACAAGTGCTAGACAGGTGGAAATCTGCAGAATATTCCCAGCACCTCAGACTCACCATTGCATAACAAATGATGTCACACAGTGGAGATGCCCCTAGCTGACATCACATCCTGGGAGGAGGCGCTGCTAGGGCAAAACCTCTACAACCTGATGTGCATTTTGCCAGGGAAACCAGGGTCGCACAATTTCTATGAACTTAAGCGTTAATCATGCCCAGTATGGAGAAAAGCAAATGTGTGTGGCATGCCTGTGTGTGAACTCAGCCACATATTGATTATACTTTCCTACATGCTGAAGGGATGGAGTGGTTTTGAGAGCCGCTGGAAGAGACAAAGCAATGAACTTACCATGTTGCTTGACTCAACGAGCTCTGGGATTTAGAAGTGAAATCTGAGCCATTAGCGTGTGGCCTTACTTTTTTAATAGGAAAATGTTCCACGCAGGTCTAGCAACGTTCATGTTAGGGTTTTTAACACTTTTGTATGCGTCTCAGATAGCCAACCTGGAGTGGTCCTTGAGTAACTCACAATACAAACAATTATTTCAGACATTTCAAAAATGAAGTGCTACCAGCTTCATTGTGTCCCTCAGCTCTGTCGAGTAATGAAAGACATATTCTTAATGTGAAACAAAAGAGGATTGTGAATATTAAAAAAGCAGCCCAGCCAGCTAGAGTTAAACCGTCGGGATAAGATATTAACTTAAACCACATGTGAAGTGCAGCTGTTTCTGGTGAAGCTTTCATCAGGCTCAAGTGGAAAGATTGGTGGGTTTTAATATGTGGTTTCCAGCCAAGCCAATAGGAATCTGGGGAAAATGTGTGTGAAATCAGGCCTCTGCCAGGGGGGTCTCAGGCTCTGGGCTGGCTTTTCTTTCTGTGAACATAAACAAAGGTAACCCAATGCTAAGGGCAAGGCCTGCTCCATCCAAAGGTTTAGCTGAAAGACTCTGGAGTGACCAGCCAGCCTGTGGAGTTTCTGGACTCTTCATTCTCGCTTTCAAGAGGAATGCATGAATAGGTCCCATGGTGTTAGAAGTGGGGATGAAGGAGGAGTCTTCTTATATCTGTTGTCTGCCACTTCATCTCAGAAACATCTAGAATTTGTTCAGCTCTGAATTGCTCACAGCATCAGAAGGTGCCAACTGTATTCGAACTTACTGGCCTGCTGGTTACGTTTCACCTCTGAGGATTTCAATTTGCTAAGCAAAGTGGTGCTTTACATGATGCAGTACATACCTATTATATGAACATAGAAGTATTAGAAATGAATGAAAGGATACGCGATGAGTGCAAAAATAAGGGTTTATTACATATTACTTCTTTACAAAAACTAAATTAGTTAAATAGCCTAGAGGCTGACTGGGCTGCTGCCTGATTTTGTCCAGCCAGTTCTGGAGGCCCTAGATGATTGCTTCTGGACTCACTGCTGGGTGACGCTGTCAGCCTTCCACTGTGCACCTCCAGCATCACAATATCGCTTTCAGCTTCAGACGTGTGGAACAGAAATAATCTTTACGGGCCCACAAATTCAGGAGTTGTGGGAGAAAAGTGGAAATGTCTGAACTGTACTCATTGACCTTACGAAAGCAGTTGAAATATTGCCATTTCTATGCATTGATTCATGTATTTAACATTTATTAGGCAGCTAGACGATTCAAGAGACTTTGCAAAATGCTTTTGGGGATGCAAAGATGTGTAAGAGGGAAAGGAATTGACATTTATTGAGAATATACTATATGCCAGACATCATAGAGGCTGTTGGATTACATTTTCTCATTTAATTCCCAAAACCTTGAAAGGGAAAGATTATAAGATAAGATCTGTGCTCTCAAAAGCCTTCCAGTCTGTGATTAAATAGTAGGTAAAAGACATATTCAAACATCCATGAAATAAGATATTCTAACTATATGCCAAAGGAGAGGTTTTAATGGGAATTAAGAGTCTGGAGTCATTACTTGGGGAATGAAAGAAAGTTTATTGGAGAAGGCCATATTTGAGTTGGACATTGAAGGTTGGGTAGGATTTAGATTCACAGAGAGGGAGGACAAGCCATGACTCAGGCGAAGGAGAGGAAGAGTAGGGAAAGCAAAAGGAAGAAGCAATTCCTATGAGTCACACTACTCAGAGGTCAAGGGAAAATCACTTACAGAAATTTCCCTTATTATCACTTCATGGGTCTCGTACCAGGTGAGGTCCATACCTTAAGGCCACACTCTATGAAAAATGCAGGTCTTTAAACACTTGATGCACATTCAGTGTGGTGAGATGTTGACACCGTCAGAGGCCTGATCAGATTAAGGCCTGGTGAGGGCAGTGCAGGTCCTCCTTTCCAATCTCATGCGCACCCTGGGGCCCAAGTGCGTGAAGTGGGATGGCTGGCCCAGTGGCCAGCACTGTTTCATGTGTGGTCATCTAACTATGATGGGGCTGTGCCATTGAACTTCAAAGGTTAACTTCACTTAAAATTTGATTATGAAGACTGAGATAGGGACCAAAATACAGAGTCAAGTCACTGTGGGTGAGTGTACATGTGCGCGGAGGTGGGGACAGTGTTGGAAGATCAGGGTGCCAGGCAGGCCAGCCCTAGGGGGTGACAGAGAGCCAAGGATGGGTGTTTGGACTGCATTCGGTGCAGGGTTTGGTGGGAATAGGGTGTAAGGAAAAGTTTCAGGTAAGCTTGTTTCAGTACATTGGGGCTATTGGATTGCAGCTAAGAAGTAGAGTTGTATTCTCTGAGAATTAGTTTCCCACATTCGACTTCATCATGCTGTGGCAAAAACCGCAGTTACTTTTGCTCCAACCGAATAGAACTTGTTCAATCTGAGAAGAAAGTAAGTGCCTTTTCTAAAGCAGCCTGACTCCTGATAGGATGTTGGGGCTGAATCCTCATGCTTGAGGCTAAATCAATCAAGTCACTAGGCACCAGGCTCTAGGGAGGCTGCAAGGAAGTTTGTGGTGACAGTTTCTATACTCAGGCAGTTAATTGGCCTATAATATGCTCATGGGGAGGTGACCAGTAGTATATGGAGAGTCAGGTGCCTATAAGCCCAACCAGTGGCCTCAGATGTTGTACTGGTCTCCTAGGGCTGATGTAACAAAGTACCCCAAACTGGGTGGCTTAAACAATGGAAATCTATTCTCTCATAGTTTTTGAAGTTGGAATTCTCAATTCAAGGTGTCAGCAGGGCTGCACTCTGTCTAAAGGCTCTAGGGAAGAATCCTTCCTTGCCTTTTCTAGCTTCTGATAGTTTCCTTGGTTTCCTTGGCATTGCCAGCATAACTCCAATCTTCTCTGTCTTCAAATCTCCCTCCCTAGAGGGATACAAGTTTTTGGATTTAGGGCCCACTGTGA